TCCCTGACATGCTGCTCTGGAGGGAGTACAGCTGAGGATGAGCAACGGGTGTGAGGCAGAGGTCAACAGAGAGGCGGAGATGCGACGGGGCGCCGGTGGGTGGAGCTGACAGTGGTCACTCAGCATGTTTACTTACTGAACACCACCCAATTCATGAAAAGGCCAGCAAGCCTTTCTTCTGTTACAGATGCACTTTGGATATCGACTAAACCTTTTCTGCTATCACATTAGCATACAAACTGCGTCGCATAATCAGGAGGAGAGGTGATGTAATCGCCTGAATGTCAGGCCTGCTGTGGAACCAGGGGGAACAGGAAAAGCCAATGTTTCTCAATTATCAACAGGACATGTCAGACACTGTCTCTGCAGCTCTGGGGAACTCACAGACCCTGAAGTGATGCAGTTCTATGATGGTAATTACATTTTACTCCCCATTTCGAAATGTGTGGAACAATATTGTAACAAATCTTGAATGCAGGTCTTTATTTCACAGAAGTGTAGATTATAAACATGTAAATATACTGCTACAGTAATTTAAGCGACACTAGTTCTGTGGTATTATCAGCAGTAAGATAAGAGGCCATTTGGTTAGATCAAAGTTTGATGAATTCCAGTTCGTTCTGCTCTGGCCAGAAACTGGAAGTGTTACACTATGGCAAATCCTCGTGAACCTTAATGGATGCACACTGCCCTCTAGTGTTGGATAAGAGGGCAGTCGCCGACTTACCTGTCACTGCAGAAAGTGTGCAGGCTTCTGTACTCCTCTCTGACATCCTCCAGGGTGAACGGCCCATCTTCGCCCCCAAGGAACGTCTCTAAACGGTCAAAGTTAAAGACGAAAAACCGTGTGGGTAAACAAAGAGACATATTTATTCAGAATTATGTGTTTCATGCTGGAAATAATGCCCGTTTTTTTGAGTATATGCGGCACTGCGCGGCACTGCACAGCACTGCGCCACGCACGCTCTCCGCGTGTCTTGCCAGAGATGCTCACCCTTCAGTGACAGCAGTGTGCTGAGCAGGGATTCCCGCTGCTGGAGGAAGTGCTTTGCCTGCTTCAGGATCTTCCACTGACAGACAGATGCAGAAACTGTACACACTGCAGTCCTAAATAGATTCCCTTAACCTCTGTCATGCACAAGACTGTGAACATAAAAAAGCACTACTGACAAGCAAGTCTAGTTCTCTGAAAGCCCTCTGCAATTTTCTGCGTCAAATTCAGGTTGGGCTTCCTGTGCTTAGAACACAGGCTAAATCTTTTCAGGTTTAAGCACCAACATGGAGATACCCTCAACAAAGGCATTTAAGCACTTAGTTAGGTCAAATATCTACCTACATAAATATGTATGAATATGCTACTCACGCCATTAAATAATAACTTCAAAGTTGTCAGTACTACTGAACACTAAAGTGATATCTATCCTCCTTCTCTTTCCTAGGCATCTGGTAAGGTCATTCAAAAAGTAACTCTTCCTTTAAAAAGCAGGAAAAGTTCATGAATAACTAAAGTTATTGGTTTTAATATTAAGAATGCAGAAATCCTTTTTCTTGGAATCTTGAATGTGTCTCTGCAGGTGAAATGCAGCCCTTGTCTATGACAAGCACTGGATAAACCGGCTTCCCAAACGTGCTTCGAGAGCTGAGCCAGAAGGAATAAAAGCAGCACGGTATGTCGGAGAGGGCCCCCCGACTTTCCAGCACTGGATAATGGCATTAAGGCCGTCTGCAATCCCATCACAGAGTCTGCTGCTGGATGCCGTTTGCCCAGAGACATACAGCACAAGAACATCAGCCCTAGAGTCCACATAGGACAGAATACAGTCGCGATGCATCACTCACTCCTGAGGGAGAAACGTCTTTTTACATATCAGTCATGCTCTCCATGAGAGACACATGCATATGCAGGTCAGACCAAGCGTGGGGGCGGCAACACAGGGTATATTATTGGGAGTCCATGTAAAGGCATAAATTATGCAAGACTGCTAGTTTTTTTTTTTTTTAATCTTGTCCCTCCCCCATGTATTGGGGAAAGGAGACTTTATTTTCTTGAGGTATTTCCCTGATGGTTTGAAAGTCTGTAACAACTCTCTCAGCACACATCTTAATAAAGTTTTGTTTCCTCAAACTCCAGGTCCTGATTTTCCGGCAGCACAAACAGCCGAAAAGCGTACAGGCTGTGGTGCGGCCAGCGGTCGCTCAGCCTGCTCCCAGAGTGACGCTCACGTCAGCCCCACTGCGGAGTCGGTGACCTCGGCAGCCATCTGTGCCCTCCCCAAGGAGACCCAATGTTGCACCCTGCCTGGGGGTCCCTGCAAGCACAATGCAGATAGGCCCCACCTCACGCACCCCCCTCCACGAAAGGGTATATCAGGCAGACTCCTCCACTGGCCTTATAACAACTACAGTACATTGCAATGATGCAATGTCATTCCCGCCAAGTCGAAGTCGAAGCATAGTATCATACTCCCCATTATACAAGTAGCTCGTGCTCTTGTCGATTAAAGCTTTGCGCAATCCAGTTAATTATGGCGGCAAAAAGAAGGTAAAACGAATAAAGGAAATTAAGGCATGTTTTAACCTGTTCGGCGCTGGTGATATGGTGATAAGGGAATGCTGTTTAAGGGAGAAAAAATGTGCATTTTCCATACTTCAGTTTTATCACAGTTAAGAAGTTGCACAACATTATGTGCGTAGAAACAAAAACACCAATTCAGATATCTCCCCATTTATAATTTTGATGCTGGTATTGTATTTATCTTGGCAAGGAAGTTAATTAGCAGCCCTATTACCTTGGCGGGGTTTTTTTCCGAAGCGGGAATTACCGCTTTCCTCAAGTTATCGAAGAGGTGGCCGACGGCGGCGCGCTGGTGCGCCTGCAGAACGCGCCTCCGCTCCCGCTGGCGCTCCGTTCCGTGACCCTTCCGCCCGGACCCGCGGCGTTTACCTCTGCCCATCGCACACCTCTGTTGCTGAAACCGGGTAGTCATTATTAGACCTGCAGATATAGCACTGGTTACCGAAAATAAGTTGAAGGGCGTCTCCCCCCCCCCTACATTAATATTAATTGGTTCATGACGCCGATAGAGGGCGCTTTATGTTCGGGATCAGGCTGCTTGGCTGCATGAATGTTACCCCAGCAGCGCTGAAGCAATTTACCATGTGAATTATAAATCGGAACACAGCGTTTTATGGGATACGCACATTTTTCCTCCACATCGCGTTGTCCGTGCCGCTGCACTATTGCAATCTCCGGCTGCCCTGGATCACTTAAGGTAAGACGTGGTGAAGCGGGGTGCGTCGGCCGTCCAATCGCGTCGCTGCGCTCAGAAGTACCCGGCTATGATTGGTTGAAATCCCACCTGTGCTGCGCGGCTGCCGGGGCACATGGCACGCTCGCTCCGCGGAGGTGGGTGGGGGGTCGTGGTGGACGGGAAATGTCACGCTTTAATGGTATCGCATTTATGAAAAGTAGCCTAGAAATTGTTTTCACGCTCCCGCTCCTCTGTTAGCCGTGCGCAGAAACAAATCCATTTTCATATAATTTCAGCACAGCCTGTGCATTAGTTAACTACGACAGCCTGGCAAACTATACGTCCAGAAAATTAAAAACGGAGATTTATACCGGTTAAATAAACAATAATTACTAGTTCTGTGGCTCCCTTTTGCAACACTATTTTTGAAGCAGGCACTGATTTTTCCTATGGGTCATTTTATTCACGTAGTTTATTATAGGTATTTATATATACATATAGGGGGCGATTCTTGGATTTGACCCTTAGGGGGCTTAGGCCCCTGAAGCAATACGACTGAAACCCCCCTAAATATATATGACCAATTTATTTGTTAACATTAACGTTCCGTCGGATAATTATACATTATATGGTGCACTTGTCCGCCGTCTCATATCCTCTTCATTGTTTCCCCAGCATTGATAAAAAAAGTACATTGGAATAGGGAACGGCTGCAAACGCTGTTTAATAATACTGGATTGCCTAGTTTCAGTAAAGACCTTGGCCTGTCATACGGGTTACAAGTATATTTACATTTATTCGGGTCTATGAATGTGCTTTAGTGAATAAAAACGGAACATCTGTACTTTTCACACTGACACATCATTGCGGAGCATGGATTGAACCAGAGAAACACGGAAGAGATGCTGATTCATCGATAGTGTTATGTTCAGACGTAATGCCTTCCCAGCAGCTGCGTGCAGGTGTCTTCCAGTCCGTTCAGACTGGTGATAAGTTGTTACGCTTCTTGCTGGGAACACGGAGTAGCTTTCAGTCACTGCGTGACTGCTTATATCTGTTTTCGAGGATAAATGATGTATAAAGTCAAATTAAATCTAACTTGACTGGCGAATGTAATATTGTCAGGACACGTAAGGCTGCCACCTAGTGCCAAGAATTAATATTTAAATATTTAAACAGACATCAGTCTTTCGACTGCTGGTGCAGTACAGGGTAACTGGGAGCCTAGGGCCAAGAGCGTAGCGTTTCTTATTGGGGGGACACTGCTTCTTCACTTTTTGGGATATGACAAATGACTACGCCCGTGGTGTGTTGGCGCCCGCCCAGGGTTGGTTCCCGCCTGCGTCCGTTGTTCCCAGGATAGGATCCGGGCTCCCCGCGTCCCCAGTGGGGATTAAGCGGTCACGATAATGGATGGATAGATGGGCGCACCACACCCCCAGTTCCTATGCCGCTGCCTTGAGCTTGGGTTACAAGCCCATTTCATGTCTTATACAGCAGACAATACCGCATATCGTGTTTTTGGACTGAACGGGAGTGTGACTCAAACTCCACCCTTCCACCCTTTGAAGTGAGTGGCATGAGTGCTGTGCACTAAGCCCCCAAATCTCCCTGTACTCATTTTGTTTATTTTCCATCTACTGTCAGAAATGTAATTGATTCAATTTGTTTTCTTTTTAGCTAATGCGGTACGATGGAAATCCAATAGTGTGGAGCCATTTTGCGGCTTGAAAAAGAGATTTAAAGGAATCTGAGTGTGCTTTCATTTATTTATTTTGTTTGCTTTGTTCGGATCAATCCAATAACATTGAATAACCTTTAAAACACAGTGTAACATTAAAGGGGCTGGACTGAAATGGGGAACACTGTAACCAATTACAATAAGAGGACATCATTCATTTTGGTCTTAGACAATTTTGGCAGCTTTGTTTGGGGAAATGACATGAACATGGTGATGCTATTTAATCACAGGCAGCTTAACGGAGTCCTGAGCACTGCACACATCAACCAATGACAGGTCATCAAAGTGACTATCCCAGTTAGCTTACAATGTTTATGTTTTAACAGTTTTAAACATTTCTCAGTATAAAGCAAGTGCAGTAAAAACATGAAGAGATTCACATACACACACACATACTATTTTGACGTGGGCCTAACAAATTCACAACAGACTGGTGTACATAACACTTGTGACTCAGTCCTGCACATCTCTGTGAACTTTCATGATGCTAAACATCAGCAGGGGGTGATGTTCTGTCTTCAAATGTAAATTGTCAGGTCAGATTTTGCTACACTGTTAAATTTCTGCTTCCACCAAATTTTAATTCAGAATATATATTTATTTAATATCTGAATATTATTAATTAGTATCGCAGCAAACATGCAAACTTTTGTATGATGTTAGTCTTTATAAATATATACTATTACAAAACTAAATGTAAAAATTTCCATAAGGGTTGTGAGAAAAAATATTTACAACTTAAATATCTTCAAGATAAGAGATAAAAAAGATAATCCTCTTTCACAGTATATAAAACAGAAGTGATATTGGGCATGAATACAGTGAAATGAAGCAGAATTTGACTGCGTAGCAAAATTTCACCCAACGCCAGAGTCTCCTCTTCCTTTTCACATATACAGCTTGAATTGAATTCGTTGGCATGGCGATGCATTAGTCAATCTTTTCCAGAAAGACAAAACGAGCCCTCTCTCACAGAACAAAGACAGCAGGTAAAGGAACATAGACGTCGGTTGACTGAAAGCATGGACACGGAGATTCAGATCTGGACAGGAACTGGTAGTTATACAGTACAAAAGAATTTTCCAAAAGTACTGGAACAGCCAAGTAGAAGCTGTTGTTTTTTGGTTTGCAGTCAGGCGTTCTGTATTTATAATGATGTCACTGATGGAAAGTAGAGCATGATATGTGTTTCACACTGAGGGTGGGTTGCCCCTCACCTTGACCAGCCATGAAATAGTTTTTTGGGTAATTCCACGTAGATATTTCCACATATTAAACACATAGCCCAGTAGTTTCTCTGCGTAAGCGGACACAAAAACACTAAGTAGGTTCACGTATAAAAGTCAGTAATTGTTGCATATCATTTTGTGAGAAAAGGCATGAAGTCTGTGGGCACTGATAAGCCAGCCCTCCACGTAATCGTTTGGGCTGCATTGTCGGGCTTCGCTGAAGCCACTGTGAGTTTTTTTCCCTCCCCCTTTTCAGCATTTAAAAAGCACGCTTGCTTGGATTGGAATTTGCAAACCGACGCAGAATAATAACCATTTTCCCACAAATTAATCTGAGTGAGTTCCGTGGCCTAAAAGGAACCACGCGTTCCTGGTCGATCTCACGCTGCACCCTGCGTTCTGCTCAGGAAGTGTTTCCGTAAATGTCGTAATTGCTCTGTTGCCGGTGACGTCCGCTACGTCATGGCTGAGGCAGAGCCACCCCCCCTTGGTCATGCGCTGACCGTGGCCATCCACCCCCGGGTAAACGGCTCTCGCTGCCATCTGCCCTCTGTTTCTTTTCTCCGTGATGCTAAAGCTTCCTCTTGCTCTCACCTGTCCAGACATATAACCTAACTTTTCTGCACATGGCTGTTGGGGAAACTGCGGTAAAATCTCATTAGCTCTGCTAACCATTCCATCGTACCTTATGGGACCCCCAAATACCCCCTATTATACCTCACATATCTATTGTTTCACTTGATAATGTGTTTCAGCTGATTAACTAATCATCAGGTCTTGGACTGGTTTAACTGAGTGTGCCGGTGATGGGTAAGTGGTTCTAAGATAGCTAGAAGTCACAAAAGGGCTTCATATCCTCTGGATTAGATGTTGCTTTTTGATCTCATGATCTTTTGACTATTTAGGACATTCTAGATATTTTTTTCAGCTGACCCAGGCCTGGTCATTCAGTAATTATATTTGCAATCTTTTTTATTCTATTTTATTTAGTTCTTCTGTTTTCCTCCTTTTGTTTGGACACCTTTAATTTTTAAATGAAAGAGAATATTTCCTTTCAAAATATACTTAAATATACTTCTAATAAAGAAACGTCTTTGGTTTTCATTGTAAATTCTACAAAACAGGTGAGCTTGCAAGAGTTTTAAAAGGATGTCCATATATAATTATTTTTATAATTTGTCCATGAATTTTGTTCCTATAAAATTATATGGGTTTAAAAGTGAGTGTTCATTGTCTGTCTGACTCAAAAACAAATAACTTTCTTATAATAAAAATTATTTTTTTTAGGGCTTTCACCAAATCATTTCTTCATGAGAAACAATAATTATTACTAGCATTCATAGTAAAACTCAAAGTTTAGACTTCCCTGTCTCAATACTTTTGGAGGGAACTCTGTGAAGTTCCATTCCAATAGGCAATAAACAAATATTAATGCCTTTATATGCAAGAAATACAGTAATAAAACTCCTTGCCTTGTCTTTTGCTTTCACACTGCATTTAGAAAACAAGGACTCAGTCACATATCAGCTGTCATCTGAAACTGCTGCTGACATGACAGCAAAAATGTCTCACTGTTTTTAGCCACTGAAACTTGCTGAAATGAAGAACAAAGCCCCAGTGTTTCAGCTGAAATGACACCCGGCCAGCTCGCATTTACCCTGGTCCTCTACACAAGCTTTCCGCTTTCTACCTGTGGATGGCTTTAGAAAGATAAAAACTGAGAAAAGCAGAAATATAAAAATAAGCAAGCTGAGTAGAGTCAGTAAAAATGGACTTGCACGTGATTGGACTCATATTGCACAGAGAAATGGGCGTCCGGTCCTCCAGCCTGCAGTGATCCAGCCAGCTCTCCAGTGTGAATGTCTGCGGGACTCCGAAACATCACTGAGACACAGGAGACGCGTGCAGTCTGACGTCCACGGGGGTCCGCACACCCATGCTGTTTGGTCTTGACTCTCTCCTTTGCAGAATCCGGAAAGGGAACTGACATCTGTTGGTCGACAGCAGCGACACACTAAATGATTGGTAATAAATCATTGTTCAAGGCACAGGTTCCCCAAGACCCTCACTATGGTTTCTGGGTGGCATCCCTACAAGAAACCTAAAGGGGGGGAAGAGAGAGAGAGAGAGAGAGAGAGAGAGATTGCACAGTCAGTCATAAGTTGGCATGACATGTACTTCTGTTGAGTCTGGCCTGTTGTCAGGTTATTAATCAAAGCTGCAGCCCCTTAACCATGATACCGATGGCTGCTCTGCTGCAGCTGCTTTCCATCAATCCACCATTATGGTGATGTGTTGCTTGTGAAACGCAGTCAGCTTCCGCATTTCCTCTGCAGGCTTGCGCTTTGGGGGCCCTGTAGTGATGCGGCTAGATAACGGGCCCAGCAGAAGGTGGGGGGAGCAGGATGAATGCTGGCATTCGGCAGTCTCAGGTCTGCCGATAATTCGCTTATTATTACAGCCTGGTCAATAGTCCCCTCCAGTCCCCCCCCCCCAGCTGTGGAGTGATTAGATTATAAGGTTGGCTGGAATGGGGAGTGGTAATAGACCCATTTCCCAAAGAGATCCCCAAGTTCACCTTGCTCCTAGCATGCATGTGTGCTGAGGTTCACCATTGGGTTTCCCCTGGCTAACAGACCTGACCGAGTCTGAAATCAATTGCAGATCACCTTCATGAAGGCTGTACCCCTTTAAAACACCCAATAAGCCAGGTGCAATTGCTACAACATGAAGCCATTACAGTCATGCTCTGCCAGTTGTACTGTTGCTTAATTCTGCAAGTTCATCAAGGAATTCCATAGTGGGTGGTGCTAATGACTCATTAACCAATCATGGTGTACCTTTGCCAAGAGGGTGAGCTTAGATTGGATGGTATCAGCAAGTGAGTGACAGAACAGCAGAGCTATGAATCAATACAAAGCTCTTGGTTTTGTAGCTCAGGTCTCCCGACAACATCCATGTTCCCTCAGAGGTTTCTCCATTGCTGGATGCTTACTGAAGCTTTGTGGGGGGGGGATGCAGACTTGCCGAGGATCCACCAAGGTTATATGATGATATCAGCTCCCACCCAGGGCTAGCTGGCTGTGCTAACTGCACCAATGCCCAGGACCAAAGCCGAATCTGCCCGTGTGGCACTAATGCTCCCTCATTCTTCACTGTGGGCGGGTGGGAAGGGGAGGCAGTGTTCGCATTACTGCCAGAGTACAGAGACTGTACAGGAACACCAATGAATTCTCATTTCCTCAGCTGTCCATCACTGCCAGTGTCGCTCCAGGGCTCCGAAGTAATCCAGTATGCTAAAACGCTAACTACAAACACTCAGAAATCTTATTACATGAGACAAATGAAAAACCGGGCCTGTAAAAGTACAGTGTGCTTCTCCGACTGAAGGGTTCAGTGTTAACGAGCTCCACTGCATAAAAGCGTTTTAGAAACATTGAGGTCTCTGTGGTTGTACTTACATGCTTTGAATTCATTTTTCTCACACCCCCTTTAGCTTTGCACTCTAACTGTCACGGAGAGGCTGACTTCCTGGCCGATTCTGACTCCGTCCTGTGCAGGGTACAGAAAGCTGCCCTCCCTGCCCCTCCCCGCTGCTGCCCCCTGCTGTCCGGGTCAGGGCTGTGCAGCAGAGACCCCACTGCTATCCTTTGTAATCATCCAGCAAAAGGGCAACTTAAAGAACAGCGTCGGGCCCGGCATGCAGTGCTCTCCTTGCGCGTCACCCTGATTCTCTGCGTTGGAATATGCTGCGGGCGTCCGGAGAACTAATCCATCCATCAGACCAGGTTATCTTGAGATGGGATCCACCATCTTTGCTGTTAATAAGGATGGATACATTAACCCATGCATGGAGCCCCCCCCCCCCACAAACCCTCTGCATTAAGGTGAGGGGGTTTGTCCGCATAAGCGTAGAGAGTGGGGAGCCTGAGCACTAAGGAAATGCTATCAAGGAATGTTATTGTTTTCGTTGTTGACACTGTGGTTCTCTGTGCCTCAGTGCGTCTGCGTGCCCTGTGACGGACTGGCATCGCATCCAGGATAACCTCTGCTCTCTGCCCGGCGCCTCCTGAGCCAGGTTCCACCACATTCCGGGGAACCTGGATTATTCCATGCTTTTCCATAACTTGCATTAGACGGGTATTCATGATAAATACGTGTTTTGAAGTTTACATTCATATCCCTGCAGTGCAAAAGGACAGTATTATCTACACTGCAAGGCTAGTGCATTTCAGGCTGAATGCAGCCTTTGTGTAAAGCAGAGACTGATCTGATCAGTTGACTTGGGAAACGTCGCCCTCACGTTTGCAGAAACCGATTGGCACAGTTGAGTTTTCCTGATTGGCAGCTGCGCGCTTCCAGCCCCTGCTGCTATTACAGCATGGCAGCCCTCAGATGCATCTGTGAACAGCTGCAATCCGCATCTGCCACCACCACACATACACACACACCTGCCCCCTCCCCACCCCTAACATAATCATTTGTGCAAATGGACCCTTCAAGGCCCTCCGGTCAAATGCATCTAACCTGATGACCTTGCAGGATGGCGTCAGAATTTCACCTCAAGGAGCAGCTCTGCTTATGCAAGTCCAGCAGCAGCCCTCTTAATCCTTGTTGGATTTAAGGTACCACAGCTTAAATGGACTTCATATTCATTCACTTACATTTTGCCCAGACTACCTTAAATCCGACAAGTTACCCCGATAAGCCAGTAACCCCGCTTCGTAGTACAGGCCCCTGGTCTTTGTTACTGTTTATTTTTCTCCTTCTATTAGCCTGTCTGCCTATCTATCACCTCGCAGCCAGGGGGCGCCTGCAGAAAATGTGTAGCCATTGTAGCAAATTGGTGTAGCCATCAGGGGTCAGCCATATTTATGCCTCTCTACTATAATTCCGCTTACAAATTACATTAATCCTTTTTTATGTGGGGTGACAACATGGGTAGCATTGGTATCTCTTCACATCCATCCCTGCTCCCAGCTCCAGTAAACCTGCCCAGCCTCCATTCAGAGGACTCCATCCAGTCTCCATTGAGTCCTCCTATCCTGACCATATTCCAAACAAATATTTTCTCTCCATAATGCTCCTACGATGCTCCATCCAATACCACAGTCCGTGCCACACGCTTGTTTTGATCCACCGCGATCAACATATTGTGATGATATGTGATTGGGAAAATGTCATCATGTGGATGTTTAGCGGTTCAGGGGATTAGCAGGGCTTGATTCTGACTGCATCCGCAGGAAGTTTTAAGAGTTTTTTCAGTGAGGGAGAGACGGCAGGGGTGCTTCGTGGGGCAGGGACGTTGCTGGATGCCCAGTTGGCAGGGAAGGATGCGTGGGGCCATGTTGGATTAACTTTCGGATGGAGTGACCGGCGAGGGACATTGTGTATTTTTTGTGGCCAATCGGTACGCCGGTGCCTACAGACTGAGCTACAGACACATGGGGGGGGGGGGTCTTGGCGGCTGCTGGACAGAGGGAAGTTCAGTGGTTGTTTTAATCTTGTTAAATAAATTGTGTGTGCGTGTGTGTGTGAGAGGGAGAAAGAGAGAGAGAGAGAGAGTGTGTGGGGAAATTATGGAGGGTTATCTGCTATGGTTTAGCATGGAAAGTGGGTGGTTTATCGGGGAATGTTTTATATGTATTGAGCATTTAAGTCTAGTAATTACCCTTTTAGAGTGACGGTTTGCTGCGTCTGGTCTTACTGAATTTGGGGTGGTGATTATATATGCATAATAATAAAGTGTGTTAAAGTCTAACCTATCCCTTCTTTAGACCTTGTGGGGGTGTGCAATACTGCGTGATGGTGGGTGGCGTTAGTTCCTGTCTTGGTATTCCGTAGGTTAGACAGCATACCCATATTTCCGCCTGCATTCACTTAAACCTGGCATTTTTATGAACATTATATTTTGTAAAGAATAAAGGAAAGTACAGTACGTGGTACCTCGAACTTAATCCGTTCAGAACTCTGGGTCGAATCCTAACAAGTTCGAGTTCTGATCGAATTTTCCCCATTAGAAATAATGAAAAACCAATTAATTGGTTCCCGGCCCCCAAAAATTACACATAAATATGTTTTTTAGCATTTAAACACAAAATGAACCGGATAAAACAGGAAGAGCATATACTGTACTTAACACATATAAGCACATTTATCAAAACAGTAATTTAAGCAAGAAAATAAATGTATCCAAACAATGTGTAAAGTTTAAAAAAAACCAATATGTCCTGCCCCGATCGTCCGCTCCTTCCGCGTGCCACGCCCCCTCATTAACCCCATGTGGAATCCCCGTGTGATCAGTTGTTTCTGCTTGTTGTCTGCTTAGTTCTCTGTATTTAGTCCGCGTTTCAGTTTGTTTCCTCAGTCCGGTCATTGTATTGTCCGTCTGCGTTTTGCCTGCCTTACCTGTAATTAAACCCCGTATTCCCCGATACCCTGACGTCTGCGCCTTTGTCTCCATTCCGTCCCTGCTCGGCACGACAATATTATTATAATTAAATGTATTAATGGTTTATTATTAATATTAAAATAATTAATAAGAAATCTTTATTTTTAAATGTATTTTATTATATAATAATAATTACTGTTACTGTTTATCATTGTCTAAATCAGGGGTATTCAACTAAAATTTAAAGAGGTCCAGTTAGAGAAAATTTCTTGAAACAAAGGTCCTCAATATCATAATGTCTAACTATTTAGTGTGATATATATTTAAGTAGCCTATTAGTTGCATCAACATTGCATTTAATCAGTACCTGACTGTCAAATCAAATTAATTCAGTACAATTCAAAAACGTTTTGACAATATTTATTGTCACGTGACACAGAACTTCGGCTAGCTTGCTGGAGTGAGATGGTAAATTCTAGATGTCTGCACACACATGTAACAGTTCTTACCTTGTAAATAGTCTGCTTTTGTATTTAACCATGTAAATACACCTTTGACGTAGCTAATTTTAGGTTTTATAATGGAATAATATAGATTTGCCGTAAGATTTCCAGCGTGAGTCTGAAAGCGTGAGTGTCATGCCAGATGCTTGAGATTTGGCAGCCATGAAAACGTACATTTTCTGTTTCACCTGAGTTTATTTATATAAG